TAGAAACTAGTAGTATATATCTTAAGTTCTATAATGGCTGCGTATAAGCAAAAGATATAGAATAGCGTATTATTAATATAAGTATAGCGACGTCGCGGTCGTTATAAAAAGAAGAAGGATACCGTAGAGAACGAAGTACTAAACTAGGAAATCTAGACGCGTACTAGAAAAACTCTATATAGTAGCCCTATAATTTAAGCGTCGTATAGTTACTAGACGTAAAGAAAGTATAAATAACCATTTTAGGAACGCGACGCGATATACCATAATAGAATAATATAGAAGAGTCTAGAATAGACTAATATAGACTATTATACACGAGAAAAACATAGGACTAAGAACCTAAAAAAAGGTACCCTACTATAGAATTAAACTCTTAACACGAAATATAAAAGGTTAGAGTACCCGAACTAATAACTACTAGGCTACTAGTTCGGGTACTCTAATAGAATTCATAGAGATAAACTAATTTATATACGGTGCCTACACTTAGGTAACTTAAGGAAAATTAGAATATAGAAACCGATAGTTATAAGCTAAGTAAGCGCATATATAATATCATTAAGTTAAGAATTAAATTACTAGAAACTAGCCGATAGATATCTAAACGGTCTAAAAAGGACTAAAACGGATAAAAGCTAGGTAAATAGAGCCGGCGCGCACTACCTATAGTAGATCTAGAATATATAGAGCTAGGCATAGAGCTAATATATAGAGCCAGAACCATAGAGCTACTCCTCTATCTTATTATCTATCCTAATCTCTAGTATAGTTCTCTCTAACTATACGATATAGCGGCGGAGGACGATAACCTTAGCCTCTAGAGTAATAACCTAATCCGTTAGAGCCTAGAGAGAAGAGCCTTAAGCGCCGGAGCGTAGCGACTAGGTCTAAAGTTAGCTAATACGATCTAGAATAATCTAGAAGGGAATATATACCCTCTTATAAGGCGACTTAGAGGGAGAAATAGTAGACCTCTTATAAGATCCGTTAGTAGCGCGAGATAGATAGAGGGGGATAGAGTAAATCCTCTCTACGGCCTCTATAGCTAGAATAGACTCTCTAGAATAGATAGTCTAGGCGCTAGGGATCTCGCGGCGGCTAGAAAAATTAATAGGTATTAAAAATAATTAATATACTTATAACTTATACTTTAATAACCTCTAGGAAGAGCTTATAGCGCTCCCTAAACTCCCTCTATATAGTAGATAGGCGGCTATAAGGACCCCTAAGGGTCTCGCGGACGCGAAGGTCGTTATATATATCTTATATATATATAGGAACCTAAGAATATATTAGCGTGGACCACTTTAGATTATACTAGATTAAGATAGCCTATTATACTCACCTATAGATAAGTCTTACTAGTTATAGTATAGCGGTAGTAGCGGGTAGGTAGAGTAAAGATAGAGTATATAGGCCCGTCGTGGTTAGTAGAGTAGTAGCTAATACTAGAGTTAGAGCGAAAGAGATATTTAGAGCCGGCCGTATAGCCCTTAATATACTTATAGTATATCGAACCGTAGTTCGCTGTTTTCCTATAGCGTAAACCGTAACTACGTTTAGTATCCTTAGCGACCTAGGCCTTATTATTAGTAGACTAGGGTTTAGAGCGAATATTAAAGTCCTAAAAGAACCTAGAGTAACTAAATCGGTCTATATTAGACCGGAAGGAAGAGCGGTAAGGCGGCGGCGTAGGTAAGCGCGAGGGCTCGCGATTATCGTCTATAATAAGATCTTCTTTATCCTCTAGAGGAGGTAGAGTAGATAGCGTACGCTTTAGAGCGAGAGGAGAATCTACGACTACTTTATCTATAAGTTTAGTACTAGAATTACCTAGATTAGAGCGACTAGTAGCTATATTAGTAGTAGAGGTAGTAGTAGTAGCAGCCCTAGCTACTCTCTTCTCCGACTTAGAGCGCGCCTTTATACTACCGTAATAGGTAGGCTTCTTAGCCGGCGTGGCCGGGGAGGAGGCGATATCTTTAGAGCGAGTCTTATAAGAGAAAGAGATAGGCTTAGAGATAGGACTAGTATTAGACATCTATATATATACATTAGCTAGAGATCTAAGGAAGGAATATTTATCTACCCTTAACGGCGATTAACGAAGCTAAATTAGTAACCGTAATAACGCGAATAGGTTATATAGAACCGGTTCTAATAAGAATGGACTACTATAGACCCTTCTAAACCTAAACTAGAGAAGATAGTATATAAATTAACGACTTACCTTAAGAGCGAGGTGGATATACTAGAGAATAAAATTAAAGGCGAGCGAAGCTAAATATATACTCGACTAAAGTAGTAATTATATATTCTAGGTAGTAGCCACGAAGTAAGGGATAAGCGCGTATATAAACTAATAAAAGTAAACTAGAATCTCGAGTTCACCTATATTAAGGATAGTTATAATATTATAGGAACTTAGTTACGGATATATAGGTACACGATAGATTATAGAGACTTAGAATTATATATACTTAAGTGCTTTAGGGCGAAGCATAAAAAGAAGAAGAATATTATTAGGATGGGAACTATAACGGATCTATATAGACTATTCTAATCTATATAGCCACGTAGTGGCTAGAGCTAGGTTAAGTTAGCTAAGTTAAGCGAGGTCACTATATAAGTAGACCGTATAAACCGATTCCTACTCGTTAGGAATCAACCTCGTATAAGAGTAAGATTACTCTATAAATACATTTCTATGTCTCTCTATGAACTGTTAGACTACTATCCCACGTCTTTACTCTTTATATAAACTCCCTTATAGTATAGAGTTAGGTATATTAAGAAACTTACTACTAGAACCCTACTAAAATTAACTAGTTTAGCTATATATAGAGCCTTATGTTATATATCCGTTAGCTTATTAAATATCCGCTATCTAGGACCTATATATTTAATCTAATATAATTAATCTAGCTAATTAGATTAAGATTATACTGTCTTAGCAATCATTTTAAGTCGTAGATTAAGCTTGTATTCTCTATTAAAATTTTGGCCTAGATTGAGATTACATAGATTCGGATTGTATATGCTCACGTCTAGGTGTAACGGGGGCCGTTTTACTACAACTAATCATTCTAATCATCCTGATCGGTGAGAGTTTCTTATTTGGCCTGTTACTTGCTAGAGTCGTTCGGAGTACCGCGGTTAGGGGCGCGCGGGGTCTACGTAGCTGGTTATAGGGGTGTAAATTCTAACTAACATGGTTTTCTTTCTCTTACTCTCTTGCTTACGCGTCTATTTAGGGGAAGGGTAGATAGGGGTTGTTAGATAAGGATAGAATACTAGATGGGGGACGTTAGATAGGGGACGTTAGATAGAGGACGTTAGATAGGGGACGTTAGATAGAGAATATTAGATAGGGGACGTTAGATAGGGGACGTTAGATAGGGAACGTTGGATAGGGGATATTAGATAGAGAATATTAGATAGGGGATATTGGATAGGGGACGTTGGTAGGGGATATTAGATGAGGGATATTAGATAGGTGTTATTAGATTAGGGATGCTAGATAGGGGATATTAGATAGGTATTATTGCCAATTGGATTGGGGGATGTTAGAAAGAGAATCTTAATAAGGGGTCGTCGTTAGAAAGGGGATGTTAGGAACTAGACGTTAGAAAGAAGTACAATTCAAGACAAAACAAAAAACAGGTTCGCACGTCGCGTCGTCTACCTTCCTCTTAACTCGAACATCCGAGATCCTTACGGCCCTTTTTATATGATACACGATACAGCTATAATTTACTTGCACCTAATACAAGGATTGCATCGCTAGGACATGTGTATATATATACATGTGATTAAAAACAAGGATAACAACATAAAAATGAAAGCTGTAGATATACCGCAAAATCAAGAATCATAAGAAAGGCACGTGATGTAGAATAAATGTAAGATAAGACAAGCGATGGGAAGAAGGGGATTATATTATTGTTTCGTTATACGAAGTAGACTTAAAAAAGAAAGGGTAATAGATCTTTTATATATAGCTAATAAGGAGTTTTAGCCGCTTACTAATCGTAAGCGGGCCCCCTAACTAGGTAATCTAGATAGTTAGCTAAGTTACGTGATAATCACGTAACCCAAGAGGATAATGTGTAGCCGTCACGTGATAATCACGTGATAGAGCACGAGATTTAAGCACGTGGTGCTATCGATTATATTTAGCCCTACTTTTCGTTTAATATATATACTATAACGTAATCGGTAATTCTTCCTAATCCAAGGTAATTTTATTAGTTTAATTATAAGCCGAAGCCTAACTAGGTCGCTTATCTTGGTAATTCAAGACAATTGTACTCTTGCTATTGCTTGCCTTGCAGAAACCCATGTCTGGATATCGCTGTTCGAATGCGGCTGAGGCCAATTTAGGCAATTCGAAACGAGCAGGCAACACCCAAAACGCAGCCCGGCGACCGCCCCTTCATTTGGAAACAAACGTTTCCTAGGCGACAGATCCTCTTCACTGTGGGACAAGACTCAGACGAGACTCAGCATGATTGAACAACTAACGATCCGCAATGAGCCACCAATATCACGTGGCGTTGGCAATAAGCTTTGCGATTTTTGCTTGCATCAGCAATTCAAGGGCGACGAGCTGGTCGGAACCCATCACAACGATGTCGATTCCCTGAAGAGGTCCCTCAATACTTCTTGTATGATCTGTCAAGACCTTTACCACCAATTCCTCCAAGACGGTCACATAAGAGCTGATGTCAACCTTCCTCTCTACAGATGGTCGCTCCGCAGACCAGGGTCTACGAGGGAGACAACTGGTGGCGAGATTGTTCTCACGTTTCGCCCATTAGGCCATCTAAATGCGGCTTTGTTGGAAGACCGAATCTTTTCGCTCATACCAGATATTGATGGTGAGATACGTCACTGTGTAAGCCTCCCGTGTGACTTACAACAGTCTAGTTCCCCCAGAAAGACATTTCGGGCGAAGTACAAAGCTCGAACAATCGTTCAATCAAATTACGGCATGGATGGAAACCTGTCGAGAAGAACATACAAGATGCAAAAAACTTCTCACCAATCCTCATGCTCCATTCATCCCCAGACGTCTGCTGAAGATCGACGTTCCTCTAGGAGCCAACATTAGGATAGTGGAAAGTGATAAAGAATTTCAATCGACAGTGACAGGACTCCTATATGCGACACTTAGCCACGCTTGGGGTAATCATAAGATTCATAAGTTTGACACGCTTACTAAAGACAACCAAAAGCTCTTCGAAGCCTCTGGTATCGAATGGTCTCGGCTACCAAAGACGTTTCAAGAAGCAATACTAGTTGCAAAGCATCTTGGTCTGTCATGGCTCTGGATAGATTCTCTTTGTATCATCCAGCAAGGCGACGGTGGGACAGACTGGACGTTCCAAGCTCCCCTGATGCACCAGGTGTACCGGAGCGCTTTATGCAATATCGCTGCTGCCGATAGCTGCAACGCAACAATGGGCCTTTTCCGAGATCGCCAGCGAAGCTCATTCCTACCAGCGCACTTTCGTACTCCTGCACGGACAAAAGTCTACACTAACCGAAACTGGTCTGTATTTCGAAAGGACTGGTGGGAGTCAGAGCTTCTTAGATTGTACCTCTACAGCAGAGCGTGGGTTTTTCAAGGTCAGTCTACATCGTTCAAACAGGCCTCTCGCTATAGATTAATAAGCGTCAGAACGTATGCTGGCAGCCAGAATCGTGCATTATGGCCGGAATCAGGTATTCTGGGACTGTGCAGAACTCACTGCGAGTGAAGTGTTTCCTCAGGGTCTACCATACGCACTGGACGGACGGGCGGCGAGCGACCGACATTGGCGAATGAGACTGCATGAGCGGAAACTCTTTGAAGCTCACCAGACCTGGGGAAGAGGTGACGATTCGATTGAGAATTTCTGGCAGCTTGCTGTCGGAAATTACACTCGGTGCAACTTGACCAAATGGAAGGATAAGCTGAAGGCACTCGAGGGTGTTGCGGTGCTGGTTGAGGAGGCCACTGGCGACAAGTATCACGGAGGGCTTTGGCTCATACACCTTGTGGAACAACTTGCGTGGAGGGTCGCCACGCCATCTCAACGCCCTGCTCCTGATCCAAAGGAGAACGACATTCATAGGTTTCCTACTTGGTCCTGGGCGTCTATCAGAGGCATGATCGACCTTCCCACCAGAATCAATAAGAACAGGACTGAAGAAGCGAAAGATCATAGTGGTAACCCAGTCCGGGCTGTATCTTTGCACAAGGCAGAGCAAGGTATTATACACATGCCATCTGAGTTGCCAGCAGAGTCCGACTCTGCAGCAACCCATGATCTACTGACATGGGACGAACGAGCCATAGAGATAACTTGTCACGTGGGGAGCGTGGAGATTCAAGAGCGTGGTGAAAGCTGGACTTTCGATCTGAAGCTGAGTGAAGGTGTGATTGATGTCTTTCCAGACACGATTCCACGAGACACCAATTCAAGCTTCTGCATTCTGGCATACACCAAAAATGAAGGTGAGAGCCGAGATTTCTCGCCTCGTGGGGAGTCAGATTGGCGATATACTGGCATCGGTCTGCTACTTACTCCAGTGAGCGAAATCCCTCGACAATTTACAAGATCAGGCTCTTTTCGATTTACAGGTCTGGACCAGCGGTCTTGGACCTCTTTGCGAAATATCTGCGATGGAGACCACGAACATCTACCTGGGACTCGAGGGAAAGACACTGGCTGGGACATACTGATCAGATGAACCAAGTTCAGGTGAGTGTGTTACCCTCTGCTAGCCAGTCCGGGGGCCTATGCGCAGCTTTCTATTCTGATTAGACCGTGACACCCGCTCCCTGATTTCTCACGTTGCACTTTATCGTATACAAATCCTCATCATAGTCGTCGTTAATGTATCTTGTAAGGACGGGATTGCAACATTGTGTTCCATCCGGAAACACAGCAAGAAGGCCATTAGCTTTACGAATCAACGCAAGTAACTCCTCGCCAGGATCGATATCATCATCCTCGTCGACGATGTCTTCCAGCACCAACAGGCCGCAGATCTTGTTCTTTGTTTCTTCATCCGACATCGTCGTGATCGGCTTCAAGATTGCATCGCAGAACGTCTGAAGGTTTCTTGGTAACCTATCCGGCAATGACATTGCTTGTTCTAATGAAGTTGCATGGAGTAAGTTGTCGAGCCTCATCTTCACAATTGCAACATTGAAAGCGCCAGACTCTACTACGTGATCGACCAGTTGAGTTGTATACTCTTCAGTCTGCTGCATCTGCTGTCCGAGTCTTGACCCCTGGTACTGTGGTAGATGTTCGTTCGGTAAGCCTAGGCCAAGGTATCCGTGCTCTCTATTCAGATCCCAAGCTACATACTCCCGAAGCTTGGCATCGGTAACGCATTCATCCATGCGGTATTCCACTTGTGAAGGGAATACTTCTAGGTCGTCATACGACTTGTCGGTGCTCTTACAGGACGCGCAGACACTGTAGACTTCTGACCCGTTAGACGCCCTACTCCGCCACCAGAATCGGTTCAGGCCGTCTATGCATTCTGGAACTCTGCACTTTTCATCTTCCATCTCTTCCTTTTTGAACAAGCTCGGGATTCGTGAAGTGGTGAAGATTCGGAGCCCATGATCATGAAGCATAGTCAGTTCCTCCTCAAGCACCACAGAAGAGATCGTATCGCAGTAGTCAATGCTGTCTATCACCAAGAAAACGTGTTTCCTCGTATCAAGGAACTCATATATACTGTGCCGATATTGCTGGATACGCTCCTTGCGGTCCGTTCCTTTGTCTACAGCACTAGTGGACAATTCGAGGAGCTGGGAGTGAAGCATGTCCAGAAAGTATATACGCAGGAGAGATACTGGGTAACCCGCGACTCGCTTGGTGATAAAGATGGATGCTACGACGTTTTGTGACTTCGTTCTCAGCTTGCTACTGACGATTGCCGCCAAGGTTGTCTCCATGAAGGTTAATATGTAGTCTTGTACCAGCTTGGTGATTATCTGTACCTTTCCACATCCTGGTCCACCAGTACAGTGGAAATGCCATCCTATCTCTTGCCATTGTTCGAACAGGTCGGAGTCCAAAAAGTTACTAAACAAATCCACGTAGATGTCTGGTAAGATGTCGTGGTCCTCAGCGAAACAGAGCTCTAGCGCCTCGTCCATGATGGAACAACTATGTATTGCTCTACATGATTCTCGAGATCGTAAATAGTTTACAAAAGTAAGTGAACGTCCTTCGACGAGGCTGAGCACCAGTCCCGAAAAGGTTGTTCAGCTGATGTGGATGTGCGCAGAACAGTCCCGATAAGGTTGTTCAGCTTACGTGCGCAGTCTTCCTCATGTGTGAAACGATGCATATCAATGCATTTTCGTCACACTCAACTGCCAGAGGCCTACATGATAGGTGCGGGACGAGTCTCGGCAAGAGTCAGTGACATGGAGGCAGGCATTCCCGAGACAAAACACACTTGGAAGTTGATCGCTCAAGGCCAGGCAGCCAAAAGGCCTTTCCGATTGACCAGCGATTTGATTGAATTTTGAATCGAGTGACTCGAACTTTGCCTCTTTTGACAAGGGTCGCTGATATTTAGAGGCCTCTTGAATCGCCCAAGCTCCAGCTGTTGAGACGATGTGCCTACACACGTTTGCCGCAAGCGTATGCTTTGCCGTATGTTACTGAATAAGATGTATTCTTTCAAGTTGACAGCGCTTGTCTTTGCGTACCTCTCACCTCACTTTGGTAGCGCGGACTCAGTACCGTTACCAGATGTGTACCTGCGGAACCCGCCGTTGATCAATCGGGCCGCTGATCCTCTATCGACAGCTTGTGGAGAAATCCTATCCTATGTCGACGCCGAGTACTATGTTTTTCCAGCCTCTCTAGCATACGAATGCCTGATATATGTTCCTTTCCATCCAGAGGTTGCACTGCGGTTCATCCAATACTACAATGAGACTCTCCAGTTTCAAGGAACGCTGCCATATCTCGCGAATCCTCCTCAGGGCTATCAACAACCGGCTGTTGATTTGCTTGCGGAATTAGACCGGCTGAAGCAGGCAACTACGTCTGGTGTCTTTCAAAATCAGTACGACTTTGAAGCCGCAACCATCAAGATTGTCAACGCAATTCACGACTCTCATGTGGAGTTGAACCAAGGTATTTTGGCTGCCTTCTCGTTTGCGAGTCCCTATGAGATTTCCTCTGTATCCAGGGACGGCTTGGAAGCTCCGCAAATCTACTTCACAGGTCAGTACGTTCTTGCTTTGCAATCAATTTAATTACTCATAAGAAGCAGATGATTTGGTTCAGCGTCAGCAAGGCTTTGAGATCAGTCCCATCACGAAAATAAATGGAGAAGAGGCGATACCCTTCCTCACCCGCTTTGCAAGTGAGAACTCACAAGGCAACGTGGAGCCTCATGCCGACTGGAACCAGCTCATGACCGTCCCTTCGGACAAGCCAGTAGATGTGTACAGCGCTTTTGCTGGCAGCGCAATATTGTACCCGGGCGACAATCTCACATTCACATGCGAAAACGGAACCTCCTTCGAAACAGTCTGGGTCGCGTTCTACAATGACGTACCCAACGCAACAGGCCCTCTGGCTACTCCTGGAGACTTCTACAACTATTTCGTCCTAGGTCTTCTCCCATCATCCTGCTCCGATGATGGTACATGTCCTGCGAACCCACCACCGCCCGGTGTTGAGAATGCAGAGGGGATGAAACGACAGTCTCCTCGACAAGACCAACAAGGCAGCGCAGAACCTGCCCTTACTAGCTGGTATGAAGTCTCGCAACACGCGTATCCCAGTAATCCCGATATTGTCCAGGCGAATCTTGCTGTCGGAAACGGTGGCGTGGTCACTGGATATCTCCTCCGGGACATCTCGACAGCTGTTCTAAGCATACCCAGCTTTTATCAGACCGGAGACCAGGTGATTGAGTTTGACGAAGCTGTCCACAGCTTCACGGCCCTGGCCAAAGAGGCTGGCATGTCAAAGTTTCTCATAGACCTACAGAGTAATGAGGGGGGGACTCCTTTGCTTACACGTCAACTATATCGATACTTCTTTCCGGGTCCGCCTCCATTTGCCGGTTCCAACCGCCGAGTAGAAGATATCGCTAATGTTCTTGGGAACGAATATACCAATTACTGGGATAGTTTGCCGTTGGAAGATGGTGACAAATATGACTTTGCAGGAAATGAATGGGTCATTACGAACAGGATTAATCCTGATACCGGGAGGAATTTCACCTCATGGCAAGAGTACAATGGTCCGATCATCCACAACTCCACCTGGAAGTTTTCGAGAACAGTGCGTCCTTCCCCACGATTGTTCTCGTAATCCTATTCATACTGACCACAACAGGAGCAATACAACTGGACCAATGAAGAGTTCACCGGCTCCGCATTCGGCGACCTCCATCTTCCCCCCGACGGCCCACCCGAGCCCCCACCATGGAGCCCAGAAGACATTGTGCTCCTCACCGACAGCACCTGCGCTTCAGCATGTGTTCTATTCGTGGAGATGATGACCCGGAAAGGCATCCGCACAGTCGTCGCCGGCGGCCACCCTTCCGGTCCAGCTCCAATGCAATACGCCAGCGGCTCCCGAGGCGCCGCCGCATACACGGCCGAGGACATCGACAACGACTTTGCATGGGTCAACAGTAATGGCAACGCAACCGCTGCATCGCTGCTACCACGTCCACACGAGACCGGCATCTTCACGACCTTCGCCGGAATCACTCTCCGCAATCAAGTCCGAAGCAACGAAACGTTGCCGCTGCAGTTCAAGTACTCGGCTGCAAATTGCCGCATATACTACACGCTGCAAAACGCATGGAACATGAGCCAGCTGTGGCGCGATGCTGCTGCAGCTACTTGGTTTGACACCTCTCTCTGCGTCTCTGGCTCGGCCGGATACGCAGAGCCTCCTCCCGACTCCTCGGATAACGATACAGCGCTGCCGCCTCCGTCATCGCCCGCACCACTTGGCCCGATGATCCAGCTTTCAGACCACCAGATGGACTGGAATGATGACGGCTGGAACATCAGCGACATTTTCGCTGGGGATCGGTTGCGCGATGTCAAATCCCTCTTCTCCTGTGCCGGCGGCTGCAGCACCGGCTGCCAAGTGCGCACCGTGCAGTGCGCCGGGTCGCCTGGGTCCCCGCCCGTTAGCAGAAACATCGAATTCTGTGGCAAAGCCTGCCGGCTCGAGAAGGGCAAACAATTGAGCTGCGCGGCTGTCGACACGACATGCCGGACGGGTGTTGGGGGCAAACTGGAGCAGAAGGGTACTGCGCCGGGCCTTGTGGGTATGGCGGGGAAGCAGCAGCTGACGAAGGGGCGCTGCTGTGCGGATAATCCGCAGGCGTTGGGAGAGTTGCGGTTGTTGGGGAGTTGTGAGTTGGTTGGATAGTAGGGAGGGACATGTCAGGAATGGCAACATATACATTTTCTCTTAATTCTTAAAAACTTATATTTTCTCTAATAACTCTAGAACTAGGACTCTAGAAAGTTTTCTAATTATATCTAAATATACTTCTATATAGTCTCTTACTTTCTATGTGATAAAATTAAGAAAAAGAAAAGAAAAGATTAATTAGTAATTCTAAGAAAAGCTCTGTAGCATATATAAAAAAGGTAACTACTAAGGTACTAAGGTATATTCAGAAGAGAAGAAGAGAAAATAGAGATTTTCTCTATTATCTATCTCTTTAAGATTCTTTAGTCTTTTAGAAAAACTTAATAAATATTCTTATAGTAAGATATAAATAAAATTATATAAGATTCTATTACGGAAAGTAACAAGGAGACGAATAACGGTAAGAACTACGGACTAAAGGTCCGATATAGATAGCCGTAGATTCTATAAAGTAGCTAGCAATTAATTTAATACTTGACTAAGACTTAACATCTCTATCCTTAATATCTTAGTAGCTAAAAGCATACTACTAGCTAATCATTTTCGAAAGAAAGATAGTACTAGTCGAATATAAGACACTAACGCCCTAACGTACTAGTTCTCCAAAGCCGAATCAAAAGACGTTAATATCCCGACTTAGTAAATAAAAGACGCTTCCGTAAAATTTAGTAAAAGAAGTTCATAAAAACGGTAAGATAATCGGTAAGGATAAGAGAATACTAGGCACTAGGTAACGTTCGTCACCGTTACTATTATTAAGACTTATAAGAGTATTAAATTATAAAAGGAGTCCTAAGGAAGGAGCCACGGGAACGGTAAATAAAGGATTTGCCACTAGAGGAAAATAGGAATAAGTATCCGCTTTAAAGGCCTTACCTTATTCTAACCACACTAATTTCCGTAAGACTTATTCCAGAGTATTATAGGAACGTAGTATAAGTACTAGTATTCCTAAACGAGTCGTGCATTAAAAGGATCGAGCTCCCTACGATTCCCTAGTTCCCGTTAAGTAAGGAATATAATACTATACTACGACCGGTTATACTTAGTGCTAGTCGAACTCTACTTTATAGGAATAGGTTAGTACTAATTAGACAAGACGATTAGTACGCGAAGCCTTAGTTTCCGCGAGCTACTAAGGTTAGAGTAGGTTCCTACTAAACATTCCTAATTATCTAAGTATACTAGAGAAGCTTACGTCCGCGCCTCTCGCGGCTGATATTCTCGGTATACTTAGGAATATATAAGATATACTAGCTCTATTACTAGTATTATAGAAGGAACCGATTCCTAAGCTATTAGAGTAAGTTATTAAAATAGCTTATTAACTTATTTATTACTTTAAAGATAGCCTACTACATAAATTAAACCCCTATACCCTTATCTTACTTCGAGGTATTACCTACGTATACCTAGAAGTCTTAAGAAATCGAAATCGTTTACGGTCTAGGGGTAAATAGCCTTAGGAAGATAGATATCCTTCTAACTAGAACTATCTTATAAATAAGGATTACGGAATACGTCTAGCGACTACCGAAGCTATAAAGGTTAAAAGGCTAGCGGTAAATTTCCGTTAATCTAAATATTTTAGTAACTTTAGAAACTTCGTATAGCTAAGAGAAGTAAATTTACCTTCCTCGTCCCCTCTATTATTAATTAAAGTTCCTACTACGCTAAAGAAAAGGCCCGTAAGACTATAAGACTTCGAGTTTTACGATAAACCCGTAAGACTAGAGAACTCTAATTCTTACGAGACGATAATCTCTAATCCTTATAAGGCGATTATAGTACTAGAGAATCCTTATTAGAGAGGAAGCTCGAGCTAAGGCATAGAGAGAAGCGGAGAGTAAGTCGGAACGCCTTAAAGCCTCGAGCCTCTAATCCCGGCTCTAATTCTAGTTTCTATTATGGCTTAGTAAGCCTAGCCTAATATACTAAGCGTAGAAATGATCGCGTAAATTACGATAATAGTTTCAGCGGTACTTAATAATCGTAAGAGGGTAAATCCGCTAGTAGAATAAAGTAGAGCTAGCTAAGTCGCGCCCTCTTAGGAAAGGCCTTAGGGAAGAAATAAAGAAGAACTTTCTAGAGACCGTCCGTCTAGAAATGACTACTATAGGTAAGCTTAGTCTATAGTAAGAGTTTTAAGGAACGATAATAATCTAAGCGAAGGCTCGGATAATAATCTATAGGGAGACGACGATAGAGCTTAGGGTTACCGTTATAGATTATATATGCCCCCGTATCGTCGCCGGCGAACTACGGAAACTAGAGACTATAAAGATAATAATAGCTTAAATCTAAGAGACACGAAGTTTAGGACGGAGGATATTAGATTCTTCGATCCGAGTATAGATCCTTCGAGAACGGAAGATGTTTATAATAAGAATAGAAAGGTCTATTATAGATCCGTTCAGCCGTTTATTAACGTAATAAGGAACTATTAGTAGATATACCCTACGAAAATCATTCGTTACAATCTCTATAAGTATCTTAGAGGCACGGTGTAAATTTGGTATAGCTCTTAATTAAGTAACGCTATAAAGTTAAGTCTTACTAGCGGAGATAGACTTAAGCGCTAGGTTAAGAAACTTAAAAAGAGATTCTCTATACCTCTAAGTGCCGCCTTAAAGAGACTCTAAGGTATATTATATGGCCCCGAGAACTTACATGGAGGCTAGAGTATAACTAACTATATTATGAAAGTACTTAGGGCTTATAAAGAGGTAAATTTAAAATCTAAAGCACTTATTATGGTATAGGCCTAGAATAAGCTCGATCTAAGATTTAGGGTGAGCATAGAGGAACCCGGATCTAATACTAATCTAGATACCTTTTATAAATAGCTCGAATAGAAGTTATAGACCTAGCGTGAACTCTATAAGTAGAGTAAGTTCGACTATTCCTATTCTAGTAAAGCGTTATAAGGCTAGTATCCGTCGAACCGCTATCCTCGTAAAGAAAAAGAAGTCGGAAACGACTACTTTCGAGGGAACCGCGGGACGCGATATAGTAGTAGCGGCGGACGAGAGGACCGCCCTAACAAGTTTCAGATAATAAAAGAAAGCGAGAAAGTAATCTAAGTCGTATCTTCTTAGATAAACGAGTAAAGGTCTAGTAAAGACCGCGGTTAAAACTAGTATTAAGGTAGAGACTATAAAGAGTAAAGACGTGGGATAGTAGTCTAACAGTTTATAGAGAGACATAGGAATGTATTTATAGAGTAATCTTACTCTTATATAAGGTTAATTCCTAATAAGTAGGAATCGGTTTATGCGGTCCACTTATATAGTAACCTCGCTTAACTTAGCTAACTTAACCTAGCTCTAGCTACTACGTGGCTATATAGATTAGAATAGTCTATATAGGTCCGTTATAGTTCCCGTCCTAATAATATTCTTCTTCTTTCTATGCTTCGCCCTAAAGTACTTAAGTATATATAATTCTAAGTCTCTATAATCTATCGTGTATCTATATATCCGTAACTAAGTTCCTATAACGTTATAACTATCCTTAATATAGATAAACTCGAGATTCTAGTTTACTTTTATTAGTTTATATACGCGCTTATCCCTTACTTTATAGCTACTACCTAGAACACGTGATCGCTACTTTAGTTAAGCATATATTTAGCTTCGCTCGCCTTTAATTTTATTCTCTAGTATATCCACCTCGCTCTTAAGGTAAGTTATTAATTCATATACTATCTTCCCTAGTTTAGGTTTAGAAGGGTCTATAGTAGTCTATTCTTATTAGAACCGGTCCTATATAACCTATTCGCGTTATTACGGTTACTAATTTAGCTTTATTAATCGCCGTTAAGGGTAGATAAATATTCCTTCCTTAGATCTCTAGCTAATATATATATATATAGATATCTAATACTAGTTCTATCTCTAAGCCTACCTCCTTCTCTCATAAGACTCGCTCTAAAGATATCGCCTCCTCCCCGGCCACGCCGGCTAAGAAGCCTACCTATCGCGGTAGTATAAAGGCGCGCTCTAAGTCGGAGAAGAGAGTAGCTAGAGCTACTACTACTACTACCTCTACTACTAATATAGCTACTAGTCGCTCTAATCTAGGTAATTCTAGTATTAAACTTATAGATAAAGTAGTCGTAGGTTCTCCTCTTACTCTAAAGCGTACGCTATCTACTCTACCTCCTCTAGAGGATAAAGAAGATCTCGTTATAGATAATAATCGCGAGCCCTCGCGCTTACCCACGCCGCCGCCTCGCCGCTCTTCCTTCCGGTCTAATATAGACCGATTTAGTCGCTCTAGATTCTTTTAGAACCTTAATATTTACTCTAAACCCTAGCCTACTAATAATAAGGCCTAGGTCACTAAGGATACTAAATATAGTCGCGGTTTACGCCATAGGAAAACGGTAAACTACGGTTTAATATACTATAAGTATATTAAGGGCTATACGGCCGGCTCTAAATATCTCTTTCGCTCTAACTCTAGTATTAGCTACTACTCTACTAACCGCGACGGGCCTATACGCCCTATCTTTACTCTATCTACCCGCTACCGCCGCTATACTATAACTAGTAAGACTTATCTATAGGTAAGTATAATAGGCTATCTTAATCTAGTATAATCTAAAGTGGTCCGCGCTAATACATTCTTAGGTTCCTATATATATATAAGATATATATAACGACCTTCGCGTCCGCGAGACCCTTAGGGGTCCTTATAGCCGTCTATCTACTATATAGAGGGAGTTTAGGGAGCGCTATAAGCTCTTTCTAGAGGTTATTAAAGTATAAGTTATAAGTACGTTAATTATTTTTAATACCCGTTAATTTTTCTAGCCGCCGCGAGATCCCTAGCGCCTAGGCTACCTATTCTAGAGAGTCTATCCTAGCTATAGAGGCCGTAGAGAGGATTTACTCTATCCCCCCTCGTCCGTCTCGCGCTACTAATAGATCTTATAAGAGGTCTACTATTTCTCCCTCTAAGTCGCCTTATAAGAGGGTATATATTCCCTT